TATATATATATGTATGTGTGTGTGTGTGTATATATGTGTGTGTGTGTGTGTGTTACATGCATTTTCTTTCTTTTTTTTAACAATATAAGTGATGATTTTTCAAATTATATATATATGTATTCGCTTAAATGCACAGTCAGATTTAAAAAAAATTTCATATGTTCATGTACTCCATTTAATGCCAAAGAACTTTACATAAACACAAGTTAGCTGTTTGGATGTAGTAAAACACCCAGAGAAATAGCAGAAAACATCTGAATCAGGTTTGCATTTTTTTCCGTCACTGGCCATAATTCGAACCTTGAAATTTGGCATAAAAATTAGGCATAAAATAATGTCTTCAGAATCATTCATACATGTAAAAATCGGCTGAGAATTGAACAAACAGTTGTAACCTGGTTCAGAAGAAGATAGGAATCATGTCCTTGTGGCAGTTTTTCTGTTGATAATACAAGACTTTAGGGATAAGACTTCACCATACAAATGGTTGTCAAAGGCAAAAATGTCACAAAATGCACATATTTTGTGAGAAAATGTGACATGCTACTGTTTTTGGAATCAGCATCTCAGACTTAGTAAGAAATGAGTATTGGATTTCATTCGGCGAATATGATGCAGGGTGGTGATAATAGAGCACCAGAACTAACTGTTGCATAATAAGCAACAGTGTTTACAACCCACTACAGAGCCTTGAGGTTTATCTTAAACCAGGCCAGATCTTAAACAGAGGCCACAGGGTTGAAACAGTTTTATAGCACCATCTCGGTGACATAACTGATACCCATCATCCTAACAAGATAAACTATTGTCCCATGACAACCACAAATATTGTAGCTCTTCCTCTAATAAATACCCTTTTTTGCTGCCATGTTGACATGCCGTACTCATTGTGCTTTTATAGTGTGAGCCAGAGATGTTTTATTGCTTTCATATGAGCAGAATGGTGATGTTTCTGAGTGCTGGGGGCTGTTTGAGAAAAACAGGAGGCAGACAAAGTCTTGTGGCGTGACAGAGGTACAGACAGAACTCATTCTATGTGACACACTCAAAGCTTGCGGTCGAAACATAATGACCTCACCGCAGATGAAAGTCATGACATCAACGAGGTTGTTTGGATAAAGCATAATTGCTTCCGTGTGCAAAGCATCTATTAGAAGCAAACTTTGGCAGCCTGTAATCAGATAAATTCAGCTCCTCAAAGTTAGCTAGCCATATGAAATGCATTCAGATCTCCAAAACGTATTCAGACAGGAACAAGAATGTCTTATCTGCATACTATCGCTGCTGTCAACCAATCCAAAAGATATTATGTCAGAGTGCTAGATAAAAAGTCAAGCATTTTTGAATCATAGATTACCATCTCCAAAGATTGAACTCTAACTTAAAACATGCCATATGTTTTGTAGTTTGCTGCCTGCAATCTTTTGTGGGTTACAGAACTGTTTCGTCATCAAAAACTGAAAGACTGAAATAGCGATGAAAATGTTGGTTATGCATCTTATCTTTCGTGCAGAATCACAAACACACCACCACACCTTCCCCAAATGTTTTATGAGATACAAATCTTATTTGCTGAACAGTTATTGTTGAATTTCTTTCAATACCATGTGATTTAAATGTGATGTTTTCTACTGACAAATACACTGATGCTTAGTTTCTAAAGCATTTCTGCGTGGTTTTAGAGCTTTTTCATAGAATGCAGTGTTGTTGTTTACTGGGGTCAATTAAAAAAAGTGTAAATGTCATTTTTAGTCAACATGAAACCAGAAATAACCCAATTTGCTTCCTTTATACATGTTTCTGGTCTTATTGTGCATAATTCATTGGTTTGTTATTCCAAAAAAAAAGTTTTCCTGATAAAGGAAAGCTACCTTTTGTTACTTTCGAAAATACATCAGTTTAGTGAAGTAAAGTGGGTAGCGAATTCTGTTTCATGTTGACATAACACACTTCATATAATGTCTTTCTTGTTTTCTTTTTTCCCTCCCTCCTAGCTTTTCTTATATAAAGATTTAATTGTTTACAGATGTAATATTGAATCTCGATTTGCCAAAGCTGTTTGTTATAAAGCTCTGACAGGGGCTGTGAATTATGAAGCACTGTTTTTTATGGGCCACTATAAACCTTTGCTGCATTTACTCGGCAAGTGTTAACCATAAAGCAGGAGTGCTGCCCTCGGAAGGATCACTGAAGTGCAATACGCAGGCAAGCCAGATCAGCGATTTTCTCAGCCAGGGCAACCTCATGTGTTTGATTTAGACTAATTATCATCACACATTCATACAATGCAGGATAAAAGCAGCTTATGCCTGCTGATCTGTTGGAGTATAAAGTCTGCACCATAAGTGAGCTGCGGTTCAAGCACTGCTTTTCAAAGAAACGCACAGAGTTTATCCACTTTTATTACCGTCACCTATGACGTAAGATGACAGGCTTCTGTAGGAACAACACTAAGTATGAGGCGGTTTGTAAAGGATTTGAATGTTTATGTAAAAGAAAATTTGCAGTGTTCAGTTAAGTGATAAAAAAAACAACCCGCAAACCAGTGGAGTTAAGGTGACAAAGATGCTGGGTTTATTAACTTAATAGTAAAAGTAAAGTTTATGAATTTTTAAAAATGTTTTAAAAGTATTTAAATATATATATATATATATATATATATATATATATATTTTTTTTTTTTTTTGTTTTGTGTGTGTGTGTGTGTGTGTGTGTGTGTGTGTGTGTGCGTGTGTGTGTGTGTTGATTTTTTTTTTTTTTATGTTTATGGACACATTTTAAGACATTTGTATTATTACAGTGATTTAAAAAAAAGATAAAAATTGAAATTTAAATGTTTATGGGTTTTTTTTATGTTTATGGACATATTTTAATACATTTGTTTTATTACAGTGATTTAAAAAAGATTAAAATAGAAGATTATTAAATATGACATTTTATTTCCATCACATTTGTATGAATCTCTGAAAATGACCATGAACCATTTCAGCCCTTCTTGCTTCTTTATGAGTCCTGACTCACCAAATACAGAATCTCACAACATTAGCATGCCAGTTCAAATTGTTTATCCTACAGTTACGATGCTAACTTTACTCTCAAATTTTTCTATTAAAACTAGAACTTGCCTTGAAAGAGTTACTGTTCCATATATTTTTCTTAACTGTAATGGAATGATGCTGCCACGTAATAAATGGCTCATGTCAATTTAATTGGAAGCGAAGGGTGCCTTTCATTTGTTTAGCGATCTGGTTTGACTCTTCTGTGAGTGTATTCCCACACTCTGGGTCGGCTCTGGAAGCCTGTGCCAGCTGCGGCTGCTGTGGTTTTCTTTCATGTGACATTGAATGGCTGTTTTACTGTGTAATTGTTTTATTAAAAGGGTGTAATTTATCTGAGCTTCATCTGCTTTTTATTTGACTATGTAAGCACACTGCAGTAAAGATCTCATGTTTTTGGTCACAGATGCCTTTGATTTTGTTGATATGTTTTTAATTTGAACTCTCTCTCTCTCTTTTTCTCTTCTTTCTATAGTTCGACAAATACGCCCCAAAGCTGGACAATCCTTTCTTGAGACATTCAAATGTAAGTGCCAACTTGTTTTGACTGCATAACCTTGCTTTGACTGAAGATGAAGCAGATTATGTAAACTTTTTGGACTTTTTCAGACATATTTGTAAACTTTTTGCATGTTTTCAAGCATGCTTGGTTTGATGTTGTTTTCAAAGCAGGATAAAAAATTTGTTATAGACGCCAAAGCCAAAGAATTTTGTAAACTTATTTTTTACATTTATGTTTTTTCTTTGCAGTTCTTTCCCTCCTACCCACCAACAATGCCAGGAATGCCTCCATTACTTCCACATTCAGGGCCCTTCAGTTCACTGCAAGGAGCCTTCCAGCCAAAGGTTAGACCTCAAAACTATGCATTCACATCATGTGGGAAAGTAGACAAAATGGTTTTGACTTGAGCAGAAAAAGAACGAGACCTGTGGTTTGTTTGGGTGTTTCAAATGTCCCGCTTGCACACACTAATATGGCCAAGATTAGTAAGCCAAAAGATATTTGAAAAATATGGCCCATAAAACTAGTGTGTTCACACAGATGTGAACATAAAAAAAATGGTGGAATTATCTACAGATTAATTGTTTGCCAGATCGATCTGGTAGTTCTGCAAAACAAACGGCTGAAAAAAAAATAAAGTGAATCAAATTTGAGTAATATGGGAATTGAACATGGTATGCTGATCAGGCTGTTGTTTTCACAAGTGATAAACCTGTTCTTTGGCAGTAAGCCACCTCTCAATATTTCAGTTGCATCTCTATACAGAACTAAATTTTCAGTTTGGCTGCTTAGAACAGGTCAAGGTCACAGCGATGGTTTAGTGGTTAGTTATCTAGGTATGCTAAGCCTTGGATGCTCATCTGACAGATAGATTGAAATCTGGGATGGGTCATGTCTCAATCCCATCCCCCTCTTTATCCCAGTAATTTCCTATCACATTTGCCAATAATAAAAGGGCAAAAAAGTCCAAAAACAAAAAAGAATGGGGTCAAATCATTCTCAATTTCCTGTATACTGCAGAAATGTGGCTGATTGAGAGCCCAGCATCACCTTACCATTAGTATTCAGGGTGCCCTCAAATCCCGCACAGCTGCATTTATACTGCAGGCAGATAGAGAAATCTACCACTGCCATTTTCTCCACTAATGGATTATGCAAAGAGGCTCGGGCTCAATAACCTGCTGGAGGCTTTTGTGTTAACTTTAGACTTAGCACTGTGGTCTTGAGCAGGGTGGTTAGTCTGGGTGTGTGTGTCTTTGCAGAGTGTGTGTGTTATATGGCTTTCACTCACTTGGTGTGTAATGGTTTTTTCCTTGCACTTCTCAAATAATTCTCACTATTGTGTTAGCTACCAGTCAAAGGAAGAGCAAGTCTGAAGTTTCCAACAAGTATGAAGTTCATGAGTATAAATGACAGTGGCATCCATGAAACTTGGGACTGAAATAAATTTTTAAACTTGAGGCTACACCCATGATGAATCACATGAATTTTTCCAGACCGTTTCCTTTTGAAACAGGATGTTTGGACAGAGTATATCGATGGCTTATTATGTTCTGTTTAATAGTTAGTTTAAATACATGTTTCTGCCAAATGTTTTACATTAGCATATAGACATCAAGACATCAAGCCACAAAATTTCCATTTTGATTTCATTGGATCATCAGTTAAAAAAATTTATTAAAAAGACTTTAGTCAACACACCAAGGAGCCAAAAATGCTTATAATATATACAAACATATTTCTCAACAGTGCATGATTGAAAATAGTAAATAAACAGACTTCAGTGTCATGCTGTGTTCCATTAGCTTTATCTGAAATGGTCTTAACTTTCTTTCCAGGCTTCAAACCCTCTTGATGTTGCAGCACGACCAGGAACAGTCCCACACACTCTCCTTCAGAAGGACCCAAGGGTAAGCCACCAACTCTGGAGATCCACTTAAGAGATTGGCTATTAAAACGGAATCAGGATTGTGATGTTTTTAGCATTTCATGAACCTGAACTTAACATCTCTCTCTGTTTCACACAGATAACAGATCCTTTTAGGACTTCAGTAAGAGTAAGCATCACATTTTTTATTCTCTTTCAAATCCCTACATTTTCCACCTTAAATGCCAACGCCTTTGTGTTTATGCTTTGAAATTTCTTCTGCGCTCATGTTAGAAGCCAGGTAAATGGTGTGCAGTGCATGTTCAAATCGCCTGGCAGATCTACCATCATCAGCAGAAGATGAAAGTAAGTTCTTTTTGGAAGCCTCTCTTGTCTCTTTTCTCTAATACAGTGTAGCCTAATTACAAGAATACACAAGTATGCTTTGTAATGATTCATGCATTAGAGACCAACTCAGTCATTTTCCCTCATTAAGGACCATTTACACACAAAAATTTTGTACAGTGACTCCGGTCATATATTATATGATATTATATTATATATTATATTATATTATTAAAATGACTTGTCTCACAAAAGCAGATGCACTTGGACCCTCATAAACTGGATATGAATGGAAAACTTGATCTGTTCAGCCGTCCTCCAGCTCCAGGCGTGTTCCCTGGGTTCCCCTACCCTCATGATCTGGCCAGACCCCTCTTTTCATCAACAGGTATGTGCAGAATATGAATGAGAAAACTCTTAAAGTGAACATGAAATCAAACTTGACCCTGTTTAATAATAACACACATTCTTGAATATATTGCGCATAGTTATTCCAAAAGAAAAATGTGTGTGTAAAATCAAATCCTGCCCTACATGCTTTTTCTCATTGAATGTCCTGTAAAATGGGTAACAACCAACATGTTATATTAACTTTAAGTTCTCAAGCTGCAAAGATGCCAGTTTTAAATGAAAAGTTGTGGTTACACAACCATTCCTGGAAATAATTCCCTTTCCTGCTGTTTTGGGAAAGCCTGATGCTGAAATCACCTCTAAACCTGAAGAAATTCTACTTAAATATATTTCATTTTCATTTCACTTATAAACTATATTTATAATCCAATCAAGGTACTGCTCTCACAGAGTATTTATATCTTATCTTGTAAATTATACTGCAGTCTCTTTATAGGCATGGCTTCAGTAAAATAAAAATGGATTTGTATGCCTTTCTTTCTCTCATGTTCCTTGCGCACTAATTTGCATGTTGTTATTTTGAACGTTGTCTTGGCTCAACGCTGGGGCCACGGGCATGAATATAAATGCTTTTACCTGATATAATTGACTGGTAGCTCTTTGTTGAAGGGCAACATGAGCATGTCTGCCCTTTAGATTGTAATTATGCAGCGTGGTGTCATGAAGGAGCTTGTAATTGGTTTCTTCATTAATGATACACAGTAACAAATGACATATCGTTCCGGCTGAATAGACAGTTGACCCTTTCAAATGCAACCTGAACACTCAATCTAAGACATCACTGTCTTTTTTATTGTCCGTGCAAACTATTCTAACAGCTTATTACTGATAGTCCCGCCCCAAACGCACACCATTGGTTGAACCCGGCTGACTTCTAGTTGTCTCTGCACATTAAACTGGAATAGGAGAAAGTATTTAACCTAACAAGACCGATCTTTACTCAAGACCTCTCTTGTCTCTCTCTATATATAGAGAGCGAGAGACTACATCTAGTGCTGTTTTGGTGAATATTTGAATGGTTTGGCTAACTTTGTCTGCAGTCTGTTTGACTGATTATTTCCTGCTATATTCAATAGCATCGGGACATCCAGCTGCTTCACCCTATGGACCGTCTCCTCACCACACTGCCTTCCTGCCTCCTAGCCATTTGGCAGGTAAGTGTAAGTAAACCACCATTTTAAATAGTTCCTCTCTTTTCTTTCATAACTTAAACTCAATACATTCATCTGATGTTAAATCCCTCTTTTATTCAGACAAAAGCAAGGCAAATACAATGTGTTCCATATGTTGTAGTGCTGCGCATTAGTGGTGATCATTCAGCTATAAAAGCATGTCTTTCCTAAAATTTCTTAAACCAAAATAAAAACAAAACAAAAAATATAAAAATCAATATTTTGAAAATCAGACATGACCTAGTGCAGAATCTAAAAAAATGGCGCATTAAAAATATACTGTACTTCTGTCTCTCATAGTCTTGTTTTTGTTTAAGTAAAATATAATATTTACGTTTACACTGCCTTCAATTAAAAATGGAAAACGTTTTATGCGTTTTGACCGTTTATTTACATGTCAACAGCGTTTCGGGGCCTTAAAATGCAAGCAGCTTAAGTAAAGCAATGGGCTGAGTTTGACCAAATGCAACATTAGATCATTGACAACAGCTAAAATATAACTTTTCAGTAAATAACAAACCTCATCTTTTATAGTAAATTTAGATAGGATTACATCTATTTTAAGTCAAGTGTATATCAAATAGATAGAAACTGTAGTATTAAAACACTTTACAATAAGATTCCATTTGTTAAATAACATGACCTATCAATAAACAATAGTTATAGCAATTCTTCTTCTTAGGGTTAATTTCAAAATTTACTAATACATAAATCACAAGTTCAATCTGTTAAAATTATGTAATGCACAATGAACAAACATGAATGATCAAGTGTTTGTATTAAATAACATTCAAAAACATTAATTAATGTTGTAAAAAATATATTGTAAGTCGATGTTAGATAATAACATGAAGTCATGTTAATGACTAGTATCTTATTGTAAAGTCTATACAGGAGACCACATTTGACTATACTTTCTTTTAATCCAAACTGTGTACATATTTAATTTTAAAAGGCTTTTAAAACCTGCTAGAGTTATCCAGACAAGAATAACAACTAAGTTAGCTTAAAAAAAAAGGCCCAGAACTGCTTTTCTGACGGACTGATATGACATAATGTTAACCATTTGTACATTCTCTAACATGCATATTTTAGATTCACAATTCATTTAAAAGCCTCTGGTGTGTAAAAATAGTAAATACCATCATGTCTTTGTTTTTTTTTTACCCTAATAAAAGTTATAGGAGCATTAAATAGTTAATAAAGAAACTTCATTCTAATGCTCATTATATTAGCCGCGCTTATGCTAACGATTAACTATGCTAACGGTGATGTTTATTTCAATCCGACATTCAAATTAAAATATGGAATAATATTCATAACAGAATATCTAAATATTAAAAATGTAATTGAAACGTACCTGCTTGAACTCTTTCATTTGATCTGGGTGTCGGTCTTCAAAGTGTTTTGTTAGTTTGATGTGTTTCCTCATTTTGAGGTCGGCATGTCTCTCAGAGCTTTTATGAAGAAAATGCATCTGCGCACCTTTCGGATTGCGCATCAAGAACCGGGTTGACCGGGTACTCGGTACCACAAGTATTTATAAAAAAAAAAAACCTGGTACTGTAACGTTTTCATTTTTTTAGTACCGACTTGGTACCAAAGTACCAGGTCTTTTGACAACACTAGTTCAGTCTATAGGTATGTGCTCAGGCACATAGTGTTTCTTTACAAAGTGCAACTACTGGCATAGATTGCATAATACAGCGTTTTTAGTCAGAATTTTTCAAAAACGCAAAGGAAAAAGTTTTCAGTTTTTAGTACATCGTTGTGTCATGTAAATAACATAAGGCTCCCCTTTGCAGAGACACTTCTGGGCCAATTGATATCAAATTAACCAGTCAGCTTAGAAGTGTCTCCCCAAAGGGTTAGATATTATAAATTTAACCTTAGCTCATCTTTCAAATGTATTGATAATTATTAATAAATGATTTGGAAGCAAATAGTCTTACATATTATATTGGCAGGGTATTCTGAACTAGTAAATTTGTCTTGTTGGAATTTGTAAAAATACTCAAGCAAAACAAGATAAACTTACTTAAGCAAAATTACTTTAGATATTAAGGCTTGATATTTTATCTTGAATGTAAAAATGTTTTGTTGAACTGGAAGGTATATAAGCATAAACGGTGAATACTTTGACTTATATTCAAGATATGATAGTTTAGATTAAATAAATGGAAAACAAGGCAAAGTTACATAATAACAATATGTTTTGCAGTGTAAAGTGACCATGTTTTATTTAATCCGAAGGAATCCAAGACTTATTTTTTATCCACCATCAAGAATATCAAAATTGTTATTTGTTTCCATGACATTTTGTGTCAGAGAACTTTCTGACCAAAACTCAACTTTTGTTTCCCACAACAAAACATAGTAAAAGTAATATTATCTATCCTTTTTCTTTTTTTTTTTGTTTTGTTTTACATAGAAAACACTGAATTGTGTTTTTTTTCTTATGTGGGCTGGAGGTAGGTTGTTTGTATTTAATTTAATTATAAATGCAACTGTATGAATGATTTGGGCTCCTTCACCCATAGCAAGGTACGTATTTATACATAGCTTAATATTTTGAGGGGTAAGTAGATGGAAGAATCACAGAAATCTCTAGAGGAGATGGGAGACACATGAGCTGTTTGCTGTCATTTAATCATTTTTCACATCGGACATTTCAACATGTCCCTAGCTATCACACTCCAATCAGTTATTGCTCTTCATGCCAGCACCTCTTGCTGTCTAATCTGCAGTCAGTGAACACTCTCCAACAGTCTTACTGGGAGAAATAAATAACCCTTAGGGAGTTAGAATAGCAGCAGTAACAGTGACGCAAAAAACAAAGCTTGCTTGTTAGAGAAAAGCCGGTTGGAATGGTCGGGCACCTCCGGCCCTGCGTCGCTAATCCCTGTTTGGCATTTTGCAGATCCATTCAGTCGCTCCAGTACCTTTGGCGGCCTCAGCAACCTTTCAAGCAGTGCCTTCGGTGGATTAGGCAACCCAGCCCTCGGTAAGCCCCGGCCTCTAGCTCGACTCAGTGCAGCACAGCTTAGCTCTAGACCACAGAGAGTGCAGAGGGAATAAAAAGGAGATGGGAATGAAAGAAAGGCACTTAGCTTTGTAGCAAAATGCCAAATGAGAGTTTAGGGAAGCAGGAGAGGCAGGCATTACCGCAGACAATCATTTGCCAAATTCACAACCCAACTGGTTTAGCATTGCTCTTGCATTCATTAGTTGCTTGCAAAGTAGGGTGGAGGGTTTGCCATATCTCATTTCCTCTCCCTTCTTCCTTCGTTGGCTGAACGGGACTTATTGTAGTGAAACTGATTGCATTGAAATTAATCTCTATGGAACGCTTTATTTTGCGTAGCTCATGACCCCGCTGGTCATTCGTTTGTTCTCTGCTGAAAAGTCTTCAAAAGCAGCCCTTGGTACCCCATTTGTAGTAGAAACTACTATCCGTCATTAACCTTTCAGTTTGTGTATGGAGAACCTCGACAGAACTGGACTGTGATCTTTTAAACTGATGTTACTTTTTTGTCATTTCAGGGGCCAACAGTTTGTTTGGACCCAAAGAGGGTCCAGGGCTGCCTGGTCTCAGTAGTCCTCATCATGACACCTGGAATCGGCTGCACCGAACACCACCTTCCTTCCCGACCCCTCCACAGTGGCCCAAATCTGCAGATGCAGAAAGAAGCAGCTCGGCAAACAGCCATGAAAGAGAGAGAGAGCGGGAGAAAGAAAAAGAACGGGAGAGAGAAAAAAGGGACTCTTCTGTTGGGAAAGAAGAGAAAGATAAAGACAGGTTGGTGTTGCTGATTTCATGGACCAAAGCATGTTATTTTGCCTAATTTTGGTCTCTGATTAGTCAACTAATCATGGGTTCTTTCCTGTTGCAGAGACTCTTTAGATCGTAACCGCCATTCGAACCGCTCTTCTCCAGCTTCCGCTCCAGTTAGTTACCAGATCAGCAGCCTGATCCGCTCAAACAGCCAGAACTCGACCGACTCCGGCAGACACCGTAGTGGTAGTGCCGATCGCAACCGTGAGCCTGAGAAAGAGCTGTTGGACCGTCAACGAGAGGCAGGCATTTTGGGAGATATAAAGGTGAAGGAAAGTCGTTCTCCAGGGAAGGAGATCACAGACAGACGTTCCTCGGAAGACTCTCTAAAATCAGTTCACCGATCGCCCTCTCCATACTCGAAAAATGTCCTTAATGATGCAGGAATCAAGATGGGTATCCCACAACCGCTACCGATTAAAGAAGTGGAGAGGGATAGGAAGGAAACCAGCTCAGGGGATGTACTACAGAAGGTGAAGAATGATATGAAGATCAAGGAAGAGTGCAAGGAAGACCAGGACGTGATGGTGGTTGGATCCGAAGCTGCCACTAAACCTCAACTCCCTCCTCCACCTCATCAAACCACACCAATAGCTCATCACCCTGCACTATCCCATCAGCCTCCTCCGCCATCTCCTCGCTGTAGTGACCCTCCAACACTATCCTCACTTCACGGTGTCCCCATGCCACACTCATTGCCGCTCACTCTGAGTGCCATGCATCAAATGGGAAGTCTGAATGCACTTGAACGCACCCGCATGGCACCGTTTATGGGAGTCAGCCCTCTTGCAGCAGGTCGAGACCGCCTTCCTCATCCGGCGTTTTCCTGGGATCCTCTTCGAGAGGCTTACCGAAACCTCGACTTTCAACGGCGCATGGACTTCCAGCTTCGTTCCGAACCTGGGCACCGTTTCCCTGGTGTCTACGATCCAGAACGGCCCTATCGGGATCGGGAGCCACATGACTACTCGCACCACGAACACCTCCTGGAATTTCGGCGGGAACAGGAGAGACTGAGGCAACAGGCTGAAGAAAGGGAAAGGTTGCATTTACGGGAGGAACTGGATCGAGCAAGGCTTCACCAACTTCACCAATCGCCCATTGAAGGACACTTACCCCACATGCCGCCTTTTATGTCACACCTTGGCGGGATGCCGTACCCAAGGCTTAGCCCTTCAACAGGTCATAATGGACTTCTTAACCGGACACCCCCAACTGCAGCACTAAGTGCCCCTCCTCCTCTGGTACCCTCTGGTGCTGCCAGACCGGTGTCGCCAAGACGGACTACGCCAATCACCACCCAGGACCCTCGGGAGTACTCACCGTCACGCAACCCCAAAGAAGTGGAGGCACGGTAACATACTAGAAAGGAAAATGCCTCACTTGAGTTGGACACAGGCAACATGCACTTATTTTCACACAAAATAGAGTAAATGATAAATAGGTATGTGTAATTTGTACAGATATTTGTACCTTGGAGCAAGCACATCAACTGGCTTTTTCAAATGATTGGAGTGGAAGAAAAGAGTTGTTAGCTCCAACTCTTGGTAGCTCCAAACCTAAGACGTGAACGTGAACTACCAAACAGAAATTTGATATTAATATATTAATCCAATGCCTTTTCAGTTTTTCATGTGAAAAGACATTCTGAAATTTGTTTGTAAGAATTTCGGCGGGAACAGGAGAGACTGAGGCAACAGGCTGAGGAAAGGGAACGGTTGCATTTAAGGGAGGAAATAGATCGGGCAAGGCTCCACCAGCTTCACCAATCACCCATCGAAGGACACTTACCCCACATGCCGCCATTTATGTCGCACCTTGGTGGGATGCCGTACCCAAGGCTTAGCCCTTCAACAGGACATAACGGACTTCTTAACCGGACACCCCCCACTGCAGCACTAAGTGCCCCTCCTCCTCTGGTACCCTCTGGTGCTGCCAGACCGGTGTCGCCAAGACGGACTACGCCAATCACCACCCAGGACCCTCGGGAGTACTCACCGTCACGCAACCCCAAAGAAGTGGAGGCACGGTAACATACTAGAAAGGAAAATGCCTCACTTGAGTTGGACACAGGCAACATGCACTTATTTTCACACAAAATAGAGTAAATGATAAATAGGTATGTGTAATTTGTACAGATATTTGTACCTTGGAGCAAGCACATCAACTGGCTTTTTCAAATGATTGGAGTGGAAGAAAAGAGTTGTTAGCTCCAACTCTTGGTAGCTCCAAACCTAAGACGTGAACGTGAACTACCAAACAGAAATTTGATATTAATATATTAATCCAATGCCTTTTCAGTTTTTCATGTGAAAAGACATTCTGAAATTTGTTTGTAACATTTCCTATCCTTAATGTACAGACATTTTTTTATGTATTTGCATTAAAGGGATAGTTCACCTTCAGTTGCTGGTCCCCATTGACTTCCATAGTATGGAGAAAAAAAAACACTATGCAAGTCAGTGGGGACCAGCGACTTAAGGTGAACTATCCCTTTATGTTTAATTTGTTCCCTGCTCTGTATTTATCCCAGTGAGCTGCTGGATATGGATGCCTACATATCTGAATTGGTATGATCTCTCTGTTTGACAACTGATTGGCTCTATGGTACCTGGAAATATTCAGTGCTGACCATGTACAAAGTTACATTTTGGAGGGGTTTTTTTGTTTGTTTGCTTGATTTTCTTTTTGAGATATGCAGACAAATACGTGTTACAATATTCTTGTTTGGTTTATGTAAAGTTTAAAGATATTGTAAATATCTTGTTGATATTACTTGGAACTAAATTACATTGTACATTTGTTAGGCTTTTTAAATGTTTCTAAAAAACAATGAAATTAAACAGAACCACTTCCAGGTTGAAAACCATGGCGACGGAGCTGTCCAGTCAGAGGGGATGACTCAAATGGGGGTGCAGTTATGGCGATGCAATCTATGCAAAGAGGATTAAGAGTGTTCTGATTGGACAGTTATCAAATGAAGTTCTAAAGTAAGAACCTGGATAACTGTTATTCATTTGTCCAATGAAACAAACAGCTATAAACTTCCGGGTCATAAAGGAATTGCTTTAGCAGTGAACACATCTCCACCTACAAAACCTGGACATCTGAGAAACATATTGGAATGGTTGGGGTGGCAATAGACTCTTTCTGTCGACCTTGTGGTGTTGTGCAGTTGTTTTTCTTAGACTCTTGTATACAAAACAAGTAGAGCTTTAGGCGTGAAAAAATGAAAATGAACATTCATGGTTTAAAAATGTATGGAATAAAGGTTGGACCTTATATCTGCATACCTGTCTGCAATTTAATTATAGACTTCAGGATTTACTGAATAATGTATTGATGAAGTGTGCAAAGTTTCAAGACAAGGATGGATGAAGTTCCTGGGTCAAAAGAACAGTAGCCTATATTATAACCATAAGGTTTTTTTTTTTACTATTTATTTTCATGACAAAGAAGCACATTTTACCTTCTGAGAAAGAAAATCTCATTCTCATCACTACAATAAAGTAACAAGAATCACCTGTCTGGACACAATGATTATAATATTGATCAAATATTGTTAAATCGTTTTTAATTTATATAATTAATAATTATATTTCAATAATAGTTAATAAATTAATTTATAATATACATTTTTATAATAGATTTTATTAATTTCTATATGTAATTACATATACTTACAAAAATATATGCTATATATATATACATGCAAAAATATATAGAATATATATTTTTTAATTTTTAATTAGCATGAATTAGATTCAGTACAGCAAATACTACCATGATTTACACTTAAAATTGTACCCTACAAATTCACTTTACAATTTAAATATTTGTGCTTGCTCCACAGTTGCTATTTAGTATATTTTTACAGGAGAGAGCATTTATGTCAGCTGTGCTGTAGAGAGTAGGATGAGAATGGTGATGGGACAGGCCTGCAACACGATATTGATTTTCTGCAAGTGCAGCTTTTGAGTGTTTGTGTTGCAGGTAACTGGTATTGACTCTGAGGCTAGTGCCGTATTGACCCGCGGTCTGGACTCATTAATGGGAGTGACGCCTGCTAATGAGGGATGGATCAAGAAGGCGAGGATGAAGGAGTGAAAGAAACTGAAAAAGAATAGACCAAAGGTTGTCTGTCCCGCAAATAAGTCAACCAGAGGTTACTGTCCCTTTAGTATTGACCGAGTCTATCTGTCTGTCTTTCTGACTTGCGACTTCATTCTCCTGCTCTCTTCATCATTCTTCTCCCCAACTAACAACAATTCATCCCCATAACCATCCCTAACTGGCTCTATCTGCTGTGCCACGCTCAGCCCTGCCCTCGGTCCCGGCCCTCACCTCAAGTAATGGCAGCATGTGTCAGGCAGTGTGCAGTCATTAGTGATGTTATTGAGAATCGATGGTCTCCCCACTGCGTCTGGCAGCCTATCTGGACATGCTGCTTCAGAGAGGTCCATCGCTGGAGAGAGAGATGGACTGGGAAAGCTGCCATGAGGTGTATTGGAAGAGTTAAATCGGGATCCATTTCAATTTGGCCATGTTGTAATTGAGAGGGTTATTCCATAGACACCGAGCATCTGTGCCTCCCAGAGGCCTGCTGTCTCCCTCTAATCAGCTAGTTAGCACTTTCCAGACCTGGACCGGATAGAGAAACCAGAGAGAAAGTGTTCACGTTTATATTTTCTTTTCAAAGCCACTGCAAAGGTGTTTAATAGGTGGTTTGGTTGGTTAGCCAATATACGATCTGACTGCAAAGAGCATTATTCAAAAAAGCCAGTCAACATTTCAGTGTTAACGGACAGCTCTCTCCATAGGCATTTTGATTGGGAAATAGTCATTATTTTTGCAGCCTGCGTAGAGGAGCAGAAATTACACACTTGACTTATCTTTCATACTGGCACTCTGGCCAATTATCTTAAGTATAAAATAAAGTAGGACACATTTTTAACATTCTCAATTTCAGCCTATAATTTCCACATATTAACATCCCATACATTTTACCCGTTCAGCTAAAGCGTGCCAAATTATAGCCAAATAAATAAATACTCTTATTTTTCTCATATAATTTAATACTATTAAATGTAAATTTGCTTCTTACAAATATATCAGCTTTATTGTTGAAGATTATCAATTGGCATTTCTTCTGGTTTTCCCAACCAATCCGTCAAAAGGAATTGCTCTGCTTTTTTAGAAAACGCAGACCATTCACATGTGGTGCTATGTGTCAAGTACAGTTTTTAAAATGTTACATTTATTTTTATGTAACCCTTGATCCTTATCTGGCTCATTTACCTGAATCCCCCCTCAGTATAAAAACAGGGTAACACTTTAGTTTAGGGACCAATTCTGACTATTAATGCTTATTAGCATGCATATTACTAGCAGATTGGCAATTTATTAATAAGTATAAAGCACTTATTGATACCCTATTCCATATGACCATATTTATGATCCCTTAATCCTTCCCTATACCTAAACTTAACAACTACCTTACTATTAATAAGCAGTAAATTAAGAGTGTATTGATGCAAAAGTCGTAGTTAAAAGATAGTTAATAGTGAGAATTGGTCCCCAAACTAAAGTGTGACCAAAAATAGAGTATTATTATCTGACACCAGCAGAAGTGGAGTGACAGAAATCTAAGGAGAATAAATATATTAAACTATACCCTGAATCTACACCCTGAAAAGTATATATACAGTGGTGGTATCAGATGGTAATACTATGGTACCTTGAAAGTATACTGTATATAATTTACTCCATAACTGTGCTTCGGTATATTGACCAAATCCTTGCAGACCATATAACACAGTGAAGCACCAACTGACCTCAGATGGAGTGAATTCCAGACTGAAGTGATAGAATAGCATCTAAGTCTGTCTGAACCTCCAAATATACTGCCACAGGCTCGGCACTCCAGAAATGCTGTCTGACTCTTAGTGCTTCTGGACAGAAACACATCCACTACAAACAGGAACATATGAGGGAATGGAATGGAAACAAATAATTGTTCCTTCGAAAAACAAGCAAGCCACTGAGATATGATGACATAGAGGGTTAAAATGAGAAAAAGAGTGAGTTTAAAGATGTAAAGTAGTCGGAAATTGAGGAAAGGAGAGAGAGAGCGAGAGAGAGAGAGAGAGAAAGACAATCCCAGACAGACCAACTGAGCCCCAGCAGCTAAATCATTTTTCCACTTTCATTCATTTTTTTTAATGATTTTTTCCCTCTTTCTTCATGCCTCAGTGAAAGCTGGCTGCCTGACTCCTCACACTCACATACACAGGCATCATTGTGTATACAAACCGTAAAAGCCAATGAGAATTTATGCAGCTGGGTTCATCTGGCCGAGATGGAGGAGGTTATAGTGGAGAGAAACTGGCGTGATATTCAGACGACCTGCAATCTGTGCTGCCAGTACAGGGTGGAGGAATAGAGTAGATTGGTGGATGCTACAGATGCTATGTTCAATAGAGAAGAAAAGCTTTCTCATACACTGACTTTCCAATTTGTTCCAATATAATGTCAGGATTTTAAAAAAATTAAGGTTTGACTGTTTAGTGCACCCCATTAGGCCCTGTTGGCAGATACTGTAACTATACGCTCACAGTCACAGGCAAAAAGCATCATGCTTCATTGACTGTTTCAAGAACAGC